TTGAGAAGATCCCACCGTATTAAGAGTTACAAGCTTAATATGGCTATAAAACCTAAGTAAACACATCTTCGTTCCCTTTCTGCAGTCAGCTCTGAACCCCACCAGCAGCTTGCTTATAAACAAAGCATCTGCTTATGCATAAACTGTGCATCCAGTCCAAAAATTGGTTTATGTCTAACAATAAAAGAATCTAAAAAAAAAAAAAAAAAAAAGATCTTATGAAATCCAAGAATTCGATTTTGTCTCAGCTTTTGGCACTGATACAAATGCTTATGTTTCCGTGTAGGTTTCCAATCCCTCATATGTGCACTTTTTCATTTTGTTTTTCTCTCTTGAGGTATAGTCTGCGAGCCTCATGTTAGTATCTTTTTCTTTTTGTCCTTAGTTGCAGTAAAATGTTGAGTCTGGAGGGAAAAAGATAAACCCTGGATACAATAGCCGCTTTTTGACCTTTCTCAAAGGGAATCTGAAATGGCAGTCACATTTAGCAACAGTTCCTTCAGTTAAAGGAGCTATAAGTAAAAATATCCTTAGCAAAAAGCAGTTTATTTAAGTATAGTATGGTGTACTTACTTTACACTAAAAAGAGGCAGTTTGTCTGATTTTTTTATCCTTTTATATAACCTTTTTTTATATAAACTGAAGAATATTATATTAGTGTCTCACTTTGTCTTTTCATTAGGGTCATGCTAGCACAAAACAGGCTTATATGGCAGGCCATCTGACTTTCGCTAAGTATTTTTTAGATTACATTTAGACACCTATTCAGGAGTCTTTTTAAATTCAGTTAGCAATAGCAGTCAGTAGTTCGAGCTTAGATGTTTTAAGCCACATGGAAGTCCATTCTCCGAAGCACTTTCCAAGTCTGATGCAAACGAAAGACCCACCCATCATTCTTTTGGGTTTATGTAAGAAAAAAAAAAGCAAAATGCCTTTATTGTGCCACAATGGGGAAATTCACTCTCTGATTTTAACCAATCCCCTTGGGGGGCAGTGGGCTACCATTGTGTGGCTCCCTGGGAGCAGAGTGGGGTTAAGGGTCTTGCTCAGAGACCCAGAGTGCCAGCTATGGGGATCGAACCAAGCGCAAGTGCACTGCTCTAACCCACTAGGCCAACACTCCCCAACACTTTCACTGCAAAAACGATCTAGAAATAAGTAAAAATTTCTTAAATTAAGTGTATTCACCCTTAATTTGAGTAGGTAAATGAGATAGTTTGCCAATGGAATGAGTAATTTTACTCTTGAAATAAGATAATTAGATAATATGCACTTGAAATAAGACAATGCAATTGGGTTTTCTTATTTTAAGTGTAAATTGTCTTGTTCCATTGGCAAAATGTCTCTTTTACCTCCTCAATTTAGGAACAAATGGACTTATTTTAAGAAAAATTGACTTATCTAGATTTAGATTTTTTGCAGTGTTATGGGTTAAATTTTGGATTTGACTGTTTACACTGGAAAAACAATCTAGACATAAGTAAAAATTTCATAAATTAAGTGAATTTACCCTTATTTTGAGTAGGTAAATAAGATGGTCTGCCAATAGAATTAGTATTTTTACTCTTAAAACAAGATAATTAGATAAACATGCACTTGAAATAAGACAATGCAATTGTGTTTTCTTATTTTAAATGTAAATTGTCTTGTTCCATTGGCAAAATGTCTCTTTTACCTCCTCAATTAAAAAACAAATGCACCTATTTTAAGAAAAAATTACTTACCTAGACTTTTATTTTTTCCAGTGTAGCTGTACACTGCAAAAACGATCTAGAAATAAGTAAACATTTCTTAAATTAAGTGTATTCACCCTTAATTTGAGTAGGTAAATGAGATAGTTTGCCAATGGAAAGAGTATTTTTACTCTTGAAATAAGATAATTAGATAATATGCACTTGAAATAAGACAATGCAATTGGGTTTTCTTATTTTAAGTGTAAATTGTCTTGTTCCATTGGCAAAATGTCTCTTTTACCTCCTCCATTTAGGAACAAATGGACTTATTTTAAGAAAAATTGACTTATCTAGATTTAGATTTTTTGCAGTGTATATTAAATTACACTTTTGTAAACTTAAAAGTGCCCCAGTTAAGTCTACAGAAGTACAAAATGAGTATACTTTCAAGTACCCTACAAGTACATGATCAGTAAAACGCTTGCTATACTTGTACTTCTACTTACATAAACCTTACAAAAAGAACTTAAAGGAAAATTCCGGTTTTTAACACTTTTAGCCCATTTTCTGTAGTGTCCAGGATGAAATCGAATGATCGACACCAAAGTTTTGACGATTGGTCCGGTCTCGGCTATTTGGCTCATGCAGAATCCCCCCCTGGCTGCTTCAGAATGGCTTGCATAGTGCATGTCAGATAATGTCCTTAAAACAACCTTAAACGTTCTTTTTTTAAAATATGCTACTCACCGAGTCGTCAACGCTGTTCAATGACGTTCAAAAACAAGTTTCGTAAAGAAAAAACGTTCCTGTAGTGTTTTATTTAGCATTTAGCAAGGTATATGCTGTGTTTTGCTAAGCGTAAACCTAAGGGAATTGTTCCTATAATTGTTTCTAATATCATAAGAATGCTCAATCCAGTGTATTCATTTAATATTAACGGAGGGATGATTACATTTCTAACAGTCTTGGGGTTACTTGTTGTTGTATTAGTAAAAAAAAGACGAAAAACATAACCTCCAAAAATCTTCTCAGTTATCAGAGCTTGTTTTCGTGTGAGTCTGATCATTATCAACCAATGTGTGAGCCTGCAGGAAACTGAGAGATAACTTAATGCAATTTTAAACTGTTTGAGGCAAAGCAGTGGGTTGTTAGGGTGTGCAGTTAATACAGGCTGGCTGGCAGAAACAGTAGCATTTATGAGCAGGAGGTAGAAAAAGAACAAAAAGCTTTAGTCAGTGCCGCTTCGGCCAGTGTGCCCCACAGGGAAATTAAACCAGGGTTCTCCTGAGCTCTGTCTGGACCGAGGCTTAGGGTATTTTGTATAAAAGGGGACACTGCTACAGCCAAAAGGACTGTTATACCCAGGATTAACTGACACCACAGCCATTTAGCCTGAGACTTGCAGCAACCAAAGCATGGCAGCGTTAGAAATGGGACAAAGACAAGACCAAGAAAGCATAAAAGCAACAAAAGTGGGGTGTTGCTGAGATTAACCACGCTGTCAACAACATAAAGTGGAAAACGGTCGCCTTATGTAAGGTTTATGGAACAACTACAGTGATATAAAAGGACTAAAGAATGGCAAAGACTTTCAAATATATGTTGTTATAAAGCTGCATCAAACCTTAAGCGATTATAGAAAATGCTTTTAAAAGCCTTTGTGCCCTTTACGGGTACCTTTGCAGAACAGGAGTAATGTGTGTTGATTACTCCAATATGGCGAAAAATAAACTATTTACAGTAGTAGAATGAGTGTTATCTTTTGTAATAATGTCAATCAACAAAACTTATTTATTTGCTTATTTCTTATTCATTGATTCATATAAAGCAGGCATCCCCGAACTCGGTACTCAAGGCCCCCTGTCCTGCAGGTTTTAGAGGTTTCCTTGCTCCAGCACAGCTGATTTTAATTGAAAGCTGATTAACAGGCTTTTGGTCTACTGCAAACATTATAACCAGCTGTGCTGAAGCAGAGAAACCTCTAAAACCTGCAGGACAGGGGGCCTGGAGGACCGAGTTTGGGGATGCCTGATATAAAGAATGCACACAAAAAGGAAAACAAAAGGATTTTCTTGAGCAGGTTAGTAAGACAATTTGCCAATAGAATAAAATTATGGACAAAATTTACTCCATCATCTTATTTCAAGTTTAAAAAAATCTAATCATCTTATTTAAAGGGATAAAATATGTATTTTACAGGTAGGTCATCTTATCTACTGTACTTGTTCGAATTCAAAAGCAAAGGCACTGATTTAAAAAATAGTTTTTGTAGTGCAGGAGTTACAGTACAGGAGCCATGACCCAAGTTGACTCCTGCCTACAACCGCACATGCTTCTTACAAAAATTTAACATCAGTTTTCTGTAAATGAGTGTAGGCTCAAGAAAAAAATACTTATTAAATTGGCTTTTCTAAATCCTCCTTAGGTGTGAGTGAATGGTTGTATGTCCTGTTTGTCTCGGTGTTGCCCTGCGATAACCTGACTCCGCCAGATGGAAACCTTCCGTTGAAGTAATTTTGGGTAGGGGAGAAAATACTGGTTAGCTGATTGGCCTAATTTGGTGATAGATGGGCCAAATAAACCAATCAGATCATCGAAGCATATGACGTACTAACAGAGCGACGACGAAGAGGAGCCAATTGATAGATCAAACTCTTGCCGAAACCAGTCGGGAGAAGAGCAAAAACATCTTTTCCTCTGAGAAAAGCCTCCAGAGCAGTGTTTTGCTCTTCTTTCAGTGAAGAAATACTCTGTAATTCCGACAAAACTTGTTCGATAGCCACGCTAACGCTAGTTTCATCGGCTGAAGCCGCCATGTTCTTTAGACTGAACTGTCGCGCTTCTCGTTGCGTCACACCTCAACCCGCCTCAAAGCCAACGCTGATTGGACGTTTATTTGGTGAACGGCTCCAAATTTTCTTCAACGGAGAGTCTCCAGACTGATTAGCGAGTGAAATCTTGAAAGATTCCGAGATCAGGATGGTCTCACGAGGCTAGCCCTGCGATGGACTTGCGACCTGTCCAGGGTGTACCCCGCCTCTCGCCCATTGACAGCTGGAGATAGGCACCAGCACCCCTCGCGGCCCCAATTGGGACAAGCGTGTCAGATAATGGATGGATGGATGGATGTACTTATTAGGTAGACAGTTTTATTTACAGGCAAAAGAGTGAAAGTGACCAGCCCTATAATGGATGTTCCTGGGTGAAACCTGCCTCGCATTCAGTAACGGATAAAGAGCGGCACTAGCTCCTTTGCCAGACTAGGTAGATACAGTGATATAGACAACAGAGGGGTGAAAGAATGGGAGAAAAGGAACATTCTCTTACCATCGCAGCCTCGTTCCACCTGCCCCACCTTGTGGAGGGCATCTGCGATCAGGTCAGGGAGTCTCCCATTCAGGTCCACAGAGGCCAGACAGCCCTGGTACCCGTCCCGGGATGCAATAAGTTTGGGCAGATTGCTGTACATGTTTTTCGTCACACCACCGATGTACAGCTCTCCTGCAAAACAAATGTGGGCAAGAATAATATTAGACATAAAAAGGCCAGCTAATGAATGTAACAGTTCAGGTTTTCCTTCAAACCATTACAGTTACAATTGTTTTAAATTTAGTGAGTTAGCTGAAGTAAACTGCTTAAAGAATTTTATATTTTTTAAGGTTTAAAATGACCTTTTAACCCTTTATAAGGCAAGTTACTGTTTGTGATCAATTGCATCCCCCTTACAAATGGAATGGCCGCTGTCCCTCAGTGAGGTCTAGAAGCACAAGATCTATATCCAGCCATTCAGCAAAGATCCTGCTACATGACTGTATATCTTATTTTGGCATTTGACCAATTAGATGAGCCCTTGAATGATATATTACCTACTGTAAATTAAGTTGAAAAAAAAGTTAAGTCAAGAAAAATAGGTAAAAAGCGCATTGAAAAGTCAAAAAGTAAAGTTAAAAAGTTAATAAGCCTAGTTAACAATTATATTTAGGTTTATAAACTAAAACATGTAAGTGCCAGTATCTGCATTAATGCCTCTAAAGTTATTTTGTACCAAAAAAAAAAAAAAAAAAATGCGTTTCTTCCACTCTCAGTGTTTTTCATTAATTTCTTATAGAAGCACTTGTTATGTTTTTCATGAATTTCTTATAGAAGCACTTTTGTTATTTTTCTTAATATATTCAGGCAAGTTGACATTTCTTGTTATTACATTGACATTGATTTTTGTCATCACAATATCCTTTTTTTTATTTCAATGTTACAGAGGTAATAAGGTCTTGGCCTGGATTCCAGTAACACTATTGGCTTGAAATGTTGATTTTCAAAGTATTTCACTGAGTACCCTATAAAGGGTAAAGTGCAGTTTTTTTTTTAAAACTGTCATAATTTTGGCCCTGATGGCTGGCTTGCTCATTTCCTTCACCTGTCGAGCTCTGCCCTGTTCCTCAAAAGATCAACCTGTTCCGGTTTCCTATTTAAGAGCCTTATTAAAGAGAGTTTTTAAGCTTACTTAGAGTTCTGCTTATCCAATCCTGACCCATTTTTGCCTTTGAACCTTTGAGCCTTCCTGCCCCTGTCTCAGTAGTTTCGCCTGCCTGTCTCTGGTCTCCTGTCAGCTCTGTAGTCTTCCATGGCTGGGACTCTATGACAGCACCTGCTGCTTCTGTTCAGTCAGCCGGTAGGAACCATCCCAGTTCTTTGGACACCGGACTGAACTGTTAAACCAAGGTTAGTGACTTGCACATACATAATCATCCTCCGTCTGATTATTAGTCACTAATTTGTTTCTTTCCAACAGAGCTTTAGTCATAGAATCCCTAGCTGCTGTAAATAAATGCCTTTAAGTATTCCTCTGTCTGTCTTGTCTGAATTCTGGGTCTTACTTACTGACCTTCTGACAAAAACATGCATAGTCTATTACAAGCTCCTGCTTATCAATTATTCAATTTTACAAGGACTTCTTAATCTTTTCAATTGTTTTCAAGACAGGATGATGAATAAAGATACTTAACCAATAAACCAGATGAGCATCACTGACAGAATGAACTTTTACTCTCTCTCAGGTCAGCGTAGGATAGAGGAAATCAATTTGAGGTCAACCTCAATAACCAGCATCTCCAATAGAGCAAGAACTCTCATTTCAAACTGCACAAGTTTCCTGGATTAGTTAGATTAATCATTTCTATAGCAATAAAACAACCTTTTTATTCCAAAAAGAAGATAGGAAGAGTTAGAAAAATGCATTTTTATGAGGAGCTTCTGTCTAATTAAAAATACCTTATGTGAAAAACAAGCCTATGAGCAGGTATAAAACATACTCTTTGTAACCCATTTTCCATTTAAACCTATTTTCTTTCCCCGATGTATAGTGCAAATTTTTGCCTTTAGCTATAAATGATAAATCATCCTAATTAACATAATTAACACAAATAAAACATCAATCTATTTGTAAGTAATCTATAATATATAAAACCCTAACAAACCTCAATAAGATTATAATTTAATAAATGAATATGTATGTGTAAATGAATGTTTCTTACTTCATACAGATATTCTAAAATTCTGGGATATGAAAAACAACAATCAATTTGTGACCTCACCAGAACAGTGGATAAATAATAAATATAACACTTGAAACAACTTTTGAAGCAATTGTTCATATAAGTTGTGTCCAAATCTGTATCAGCTTAACTTCAAAGACATAATTTGATGAGCCAAACATTCAAAATCGAAACAAAAAAGGTACATGCTAACTTTAGCATAGCATATCAACATCTCATAAAGATTAGTAGTAGCATTACATTACAGTTTCCTTAGAACGAAATGTATAGATACTATACTAGAAATTAATTGCAGAAAAAAGGTATTGATGAAATGGGATTTGAATTTTGTTATTCAAAAAAGCTCACTGTCATATCTTTTTTCATAGCAAACCCTAAAAAAAAAAGAAGTAAAAACATAATTTTTTATCAACACTGAATAACAGTAATCTACGGAAGAGGATTAGGGCCAGCGGAAAAAAAAAAAAAAAAAAAAAAAAGTTAACTGATTTTTTAATTTTATTTCAGTTTAGTATGGGAAAAAAAGTCAGAATTCTGAGAAAAAGTCAGAATTCTGACTTTTTTCTTAGAATTCTGACTTTAATCTCAGAATTCTGACTGAATTTTGACGATAAAAAAGTCAGAATTCTGAGAATAAAGTCAGAATTCTGACTTTTTTCCAATGTTAAACTGAAGTAAAATTTAAAAATCAGTTCACTTTTTTTGCAGTGGCCCTAATCCTCTTCCGTACTAATCTGAGTTATTTCTCCAATGAACCGTTAGTTACATAGTTGGATAAAAATGTGTTTATATACTGAGATTTTTTTTTTTTTTTAAGAAGTTAAAAATATTTTTAAATGGATGGCTCTAGGTTATATGGAGGGTTAAGAGGGACAAAATTAAATAAATAATATTGTTTTGAACAAATAGGGGTCAATTTATAATGATATATAAAAATTAATCAAATGTAAAATTAGTGAATAAATAAATGTATCATTAAATGTATCTTTAAATAACCAAATGTACCCTTTATACATTACATCACTAAATTACTAAATGTACAATAAAATTAGGCAATGTGAAACAATCAAATGTGCCATTAAATAAATCAGGAAATATTTCTAATAAGTTTATAAGAGTATCATAGACTTCTGAAGAATTAATGTAAGCCCCTCCCACTGACCAACACAGGCTTAATTATTAACTTTTTAGAGACCAATTTAGGAATCTAGAGGCTGGAATTGCTCAACTAATCTGTTGTGAATACATTTCAAAACCTTTTTGAAGTTATTTCCACCTTTTTCATTGATAATACAAACTTTAACCCTTTAAAGCCTGATCCAAGAATAAAACAAAACAGAAAATTACTTTTTTATGGTTTGAAGTCCTTATTTGGCCTTTTAACAAAATTATAAAAAGACAAAAACAGAAATACATCTTGATATTAATAATTTATTACTATTACTATTACTCAAGATTATTTTTGTGTAGTCTTCTGCCCTCTGTTATCAGGTATATCTGATTGTGTACAATAGGATTTTGAGCAAAGTTTTTACCATTAAATTATGCAAAAGGTGTCAGACGCAAAACATTTCAGAAACCGTATGTATCAAATATGGAACATTTGGCATTACAGGGTTAGGGAGAAAAAAGAAAAATGGAAGTTGCCTTATCTTGCTCAGTGTGAAACAGCCAATCAGACATCAGTGGCTCTATGGAAGTAGCCCTATTCCCACCCAATGACTTTGATGGGTGAAGTTAACAGTGAATAATTTAATGATGACTGTTTTTGAAGTCATGAAAAATATGAAGTGTGTGTCAATAAATGAAAAAAAGCACATTAAAAGTTATATTTCATTATTCAACAGCATACTTAATAGATGAAAAATTATGTATTGAATAAAATCAAGTACATTTAATAATCAGTGGTAAATTTTTTTCATTTTACATTTCATGATACATTTATTTATATAATTGTACATTTACACATACATATTTATAGCTATATTTATTTATTTCATTTTGTCACCCCTAGCCCTCCATAGAGCATTTGAGTAGTCGGTGGAAACGTGACAGAAGGTCAAACAGGTTTATATATATTCAGTTCCCTTTGGTCATCTGTAACTGCTTTATCTGTTGCTTTAATATCATTATGTAGGTACCTTTGCCTATTAAGATTTACTTTATTTTCTAATGAAAAAATAAATACTTGATAGATATAAAAGTACTTTTTTATTAAAAACAGAGTTAATTCTAGCTTAGGGTAAGCAAGAGCAGCTTAGGGTAATAAAAGTAATTGTTATCATTAGCAGGTTTTATGCAAATTCATTAAAAATGATTTCTCTCTGCTTGTGGTTTCAAATCTTCGCCAGCAATTTAGACTTGTAACGAATCACAGGTTTTGTTTAAATCGATCAACAAGAAAAAAGGGGCTGCTCATCACTTTTTCAAATTTTAACAACAACATTTCTGCACTGTGAAATGTTTCTCGAACTACTGCTAGCGAAGGATAAACGAGTAAAACTTCCAACTTTGAAAGAACAAACGAAGATGCCTCAAATCACAGCGTGTGCCTTGAGAGCGCAAATCTTTCTATCACACATATATGCACACAGCTGTCAAAATATTACCCCCACCACGACACAGGGTAATTGACATCTCTAAGGCAAGCAAATGTGACTGTCAGGAGGTACGCTACTTAGAGACATCCCTGACAGAGTGCCTGTCATTACTGAGGCAGCAGAAGCATGTTTGGATGATTACATGATTCAAAGAAGCAGCTTACAGTTGACATGAATGGCTTTCACAGCATCAACCTGGCACACTGGAAATGGGATTTGATGTCTGAAAGAATTTTTATCTACTGTACTCTTGAAAAAGAGGAGCGGGATGTACACAGCACACTTACTTTAAAGGGAAGCAGAAATTGTGAATCCTAAGCAAGACGATAAAGACTAGTTTGGGGAAATC